TTGATGGTATTGAAGCCTGTGTCGTTTAGGATATAAAATGTTCAAATGAACGTCACAAAAAGTGTCTAGTTTCGGCCTTATGCCTAAAAAGGCGTCTATCAGACGCAATGGAATCCCAAAGCGTCATTTACGAGTAGGTACTATTACTTATACGCACAAATTAATTGAAAAAAAAATCATTTGAAATATTGAAGGCACAATATAAGGAAAACACATTCAATGTGGTGTCATATTTTTATGAGTAGGTAGGTAGCAGGGCTGCGGAGTCGGAGTCGGAGTCGGAGTCGGTCGGAGTCGACAGTTGTGACCGGAGTCGGAGTCGATTTTAGAAACCCGAGCCGAAGTCCGAGTCGGGGTCACCGAAAATCTGTCGACTCTGCAGCCCTGCTAGGTCTGCGGAGTCGGAGTCGGGAGTTGGAGTCGGTCGGAGTCGACAATTCTGCCCGGAGTCGGAGTCGGAGTCGGAGCTGGTTTTTGAAAGCCGGAGTCGGAGTCGGAGTCGGAGTCGCCGAAAATCCGTCGACTCCGCAACCCTGGTAGGCAGTATCTTTATGCTTGCTTCGAAACGCATCCCAACAGAGAGTAGGTGATTGTGTATCAAATGCAGCATGTGACTGCAGTTATAGACGAGTAATGTGCTGGTATGGCCAGGGAACGCGGATACGGTTCGTTTTAGGCCGATAGGATATATCTGATTTACAGATTTTTCCATTCCGTCACGTAGGAAGCGTGATGGAAGTCTGGCAAAAAACAGCAAAATAAAATGAACATTAAATGGAGGTCATGTCCTGGTTTATCAATGCCAAGCAACAGATGACACCCTAAAAAGTTCCATGTCGAAACAGCTTAGTAGATGGCCTGGGGTAGTTATTTCATTAGGATACGATTTCTCGGTGCATTGATAGATCCACGCCCATACTAAACCAATCCGACCTGTATTTGGTATATCACGCATATTTTTGGATAATGCTGGGTTTCTATATTTAAATCACCCACCTATAAATAAAAAGTTCCGTGTTGGGTAATTAGTTGTTGCTTATTTTTCATCACAGTCTTAGTTTTTGCTTCCCAATGGGTACCTATGATCAAATAATGACGCAGGTATGTACGGAAATTGATAGATATAAGGGCAAGTACTTGTAATATGAGAGGCACAGGTAATGTGGTATGTCGCCCTTCGCTAAGCCTCTAAACGAAATTGATGACACCTTCTGAACGACATAGGCATAAAAATAAAAAAACACCCGCTGAACGACGTAGGCATGGTTATTGGTTATTGCGACTGACATCCAGATAAAGTCACCAATAATCGTCAATAATTATAAATGAACACGCAACATAGAGAAGCAACTGCTAATCTGCTTACGAGCACCACAAAATATGACTCAAGGTCAATTATTTTTATCTTTGCTAGATCATAATCTTTATTAAGCTGTGACTTTTGTACAAATTGGTTTCTTGTGATTAATACATGCTAATTTCATAAGTTAATATGTTTCAGTTAATAGGCACATAAAATAATTTGAAACGAACCGTGCCCTTGCTAATACGCAGCTTACAGGCTAATATGGCACCGATGTTTGAATGCTTCTGGCAGAATACCAACAAGCAAAACATCAGGATGCCTACATATTGCTAGAGAAGCATGCCTAGGATGGTGAATGGATGTTTGCTCACCAAATAGCATGGAACCGAGAGTTGGCTAGGCAAGAGGCATTTTATCTCAGTCGATCTCAGAGCAAACTGCATGTTATGCTATGACCCCATTGTATCCTAGGGGAGACTGGGGAGAAGTGGGACATTATTTTGACGTCAACTTTGAAAAATCGTAAAAAAATAGAATATTTAAGATTTAAGTAAATTGATTGCATTTACTGGTAAACGGTTTATTTCTTCTTCATTCCTTACTGTTTTTATGCGTGTTTGTTCACGTGTTACTTCTCAAATTTAAATTTTAGGAAAGGTTGACAATGGGGTGAACTGGGACACGTCCAGGAGAAGTGGGACAGATGATGGGAAGAACTGGAACTGGTCGAGAAATGTGATTTAAATGGAATACAATAAAAATTTGATGACCCATCACGAAGAAGAAGGTGTTTTTAAAGTTGACACCTAAAGAAATCACCTCGATTATCTTTTTTTGAATTACACTGACAGCACTGAGTATCCTGGAAAAATTTCCCATGCATTTGCATGCGGGAGAACTGGGACAGGGTTTAGACACGTTGTCCCAGTTCTCCCCAAGTCGTCATTTTTATTTCAGCTGGTTCCCCACACAAAAAGTATAACAGATACATAAAAAAGTGTTTCTGCACAATTAAGATGACTTCACTGATATCCAAAGGTGAACGGCCTGAACATTTCACGTCGCTGAATAAACGGCAAATTGAATTAGAGTAAAATGCCAAAAAATCACATTTTAGACCCTAACTAAATATCTCAGAGACAGGCAACCGGAAAAGGAAACCGCTTGGCTGTGACGTGCCCCGACTAAATTCATGAGAAAATATGCAAAAACAAAATTGTTTGTCCAATCGGTCACTAAGATATTGAAGGTGTCCCACTTCTCCCGCGTCCCAGTTATCCCCACTCTCCCCTACGTAGCAAATCTGTGATCAAGATCTCATAGGATCTAATAACAAATCAAGGATGATCAAGATCCATGATCAGAGTGGATCCTACAACAGGAAACTTAGGAAATCATAATCCTTGCAGGTAATTTTGTGTCAATAAGTGCCACAAAACTGTAAACTGTGATATTTGATCACAAAAAACACAAAAAATAATCGTGAATTGCAGCAACAATTCTCTGTAGACAGGATCACATTTGTCTTCACAAAAATATGTAAGGATTAATCATTTCACTGGATCACTAGACGCAAATTCTAGGTAGGTACTTAATGATCCCAATGTATCTCGCCAAACTGAAAGAGCTGGCCGGATCCCAATCGCGAACCTACGAAACCAAGATTTGTGGGATCAGATTCAAGATCCATTTTCTCTAACCCATGAGTACGGCCATCCAGGTATGAAGTGGTTGGTTGCCAACATCACAATAAGCCATCTACATTGATGAATACGTCGTTGAAAACACGGTAGTTGAAACCATTGCCGAAGTGTGTGCACGAACCCTCTTCTCATTTCTATTGACTCATATTACAGGTGTCTCTGTCATTCAAAGCTATTACACTTAAATTATTACTTAAATTAACTATTACTCGGCTGTCGGCAGCGGCATCCTGACCCCTTGGGGCTGCTCGACTGCCAGCGGCGGCGGGCCTCCGCCTGCTGGGGAGTGCGGCGGCCCTAGGACACACTACCCGTGGCCTGGATGGTATGCGACTACCGGCCCCCTGGTGCCGCTACGAGGAACAATGACGTTGCGCCTCTTAAACTAGGATTGGCCTGGGCCGGGCGTGACGGCCGGTCGAGTTCGGTGTCCGGTCGGCTGCGCCCGACCGGACCATTTGACTGTCGACGACGGGCCTACGCCGTCAGGGATAACATCGGGACTGGGCTATTGCGCCTGGACGTTGAACCGCTGGCCGCGGCCAGGATGGCGTGTGGTTGCGGGCGCTCATGGGCCACAATGATGGAATTTGTGTTGCGGCTGTCTCTGGTCCTGGACACGGGCCGATAACGGGTGTGATATCTGGTGCGTTCGGCTGTCTGAGGTGGTGGGCCTCGGCCTGTTGGGGGCTGAGATAGCCTTGTGTCGGGCCGAGCGATGGCGCCCAGATGTGGACTACTGACTGCGCTGGTTGTCATATTGATTGATTGATTGGCACCGTCAAGCATTCCCTCACAAACCTTTAACACTAACTGTCCTCACTCTAACAATACTAACTTGCGAATCCTTTTCCAGCCATTCCTGCTTGGCGGTGCCACCGATCGGTGTATACCTACACGTGTGTTTGTATATGCACATTATCAGTTATCCGTTGATTACCTAATACAATACCGGTGACTCCGGACATGCAAAAAAAGCACATAGGGTAACCAACCACTCTTTTGCTGGAGAGCCGCACCTCTTTAAGCGGTATTGTCACACACCAGCCTGAGACCTGCACAATTCCCCATGGGCATTTATATGTGAATGCTCACAAGTTACATAACATAGGTATGCAATTTGTGCATGTTCGCCTGCAAACAACTGGTTAGGCATACCAAAATAGGCGAAAGCGAACGGTGATGACATTGGTTGCTTATCAAATCAGGCGGGATGAGCTTGCTGTTAATCGTACCTTCTCCGTGACATGCTTTGCTTACAATGGCTAATAGCTCGCCAACGGGAGATATTTTAGAGACTTCCTCTGGATGCATGACGAGAGCTAAGCAATTTTAATAATTAAGGTTTGTCATTTTTCGTCAATCAACTTTAACAAGTAGACTGGCCTTCACTGGTATGCCCGGTAGATCGAAGTTGTCATTACATATTATATAAGGCACAACGCCCATGCATTAACGTGCCGATATTACATAATGCACAATGGATGCATTATTGCACCGATACCCTACCAATAGGTAAGTATCTCAAGAACCCTGCTGTCTCGATGGGTTACGGCCTACGGGTTATGTTCGTGCGGTAACCAGGGCACATGTCGGTCGGACTGCAATGTTATCAGTTATCCCATGTTTGCGGTGCCCCCAGCTCCAGAAACGCGCAACCAATGCCATTCAACGATATCGATTGCTTCTGCCCGGATCTGCTCAAGTTTAGTTTATTTATAAGCCATCGATTTCTAGGTGCGGTTAGGATGAATGCTGATACAAGTTATGTATACCTGCTCATGACTTAACAATTAACAATAACAATAACAATAACAACAACAATTACGCTAACGAGTCTGAAGACGTTGAAAACAATGTCTATATAAAGTGTAGACGGTTGCCTGCCGAGTGCCGACAGTTTACGCTACGATAGGTTTGCTGAGATCACCTATATGGCTATAACACACACCAAACCCTATCCTTAGTCAAATTTTGCCATGTGAACTCACCTTATCAGAACCATGAGCCGTGCGGTCTCTCCTACAGTCAACCCCAGTAGCGACGTATCTTCCTCCAATTCTCCAGTTGCAAGGTATATCTTCCTCTGCACGCTCCCACGTCACAGAACACCGTCTCCAACTGAGCCCACTCGGACGGCTCCCAAACCAGCCGTGACCTGTCGTGACCCGCAACTCTCCGGAGATGGACGTCACCTCCTCACACCACAGCCCGAGCGCGACTGAGAGCCGGTGGTGGGGAGACGGCGTCGCCCGCGCTCCCTCGAGGGCACTGGCACACGCCCGGTGGCGCCGGCCGTCCATTCCACAAACGGTGGGCGGAGCGGACCGCAGCAGCCACCGACGGTAGTGTGATACAATTAGGATGTGAATTGAGAAGAGCGTGAGTACTATGGCTTAAAGGTGACAGGTGTTTGGGAGAGTTGGGCGATTTCTAAGACCGGTGTTTTCTATGGATTGATTTATCATAACTAGGTACATACCTATGTTAGTTAGCTGTTGTCACAGGCACCTAAGCTTCTTGGAAACGAGAGCCACGAGAAAGATGATTGCATCGTATACTCTTTGGCAACTACTTATGTTTATGATGTTTATGTTTATGTATATGATGATTGCATTGTATACTCTTTGGCCTTGGACTCCTTATATACCTACCTATATCGGGCCAAATAGACTCGAAACGCTAAAGCTGACGATGATCAATGTTTGGAATTCGATTTCGGCTGCAATGTAGGTAGGTACTTTCCGCCAGGGACATAATGAATTGCAAGCGTTTATAGCAATGTGATACATCTTTTTTTGCGCTGCTTCAGATTTATTTTTTAACACGCGCAGTGGAAGGGTTGCCAGTACTACGCCCAGTGGAAGGGGGGGGGCGGATGTCGCCCCCCCTAAGATCTCAGCTCCCACTGGAGCTAGAAAGACGAAATTTGGAGGGTAGGTGGGGGCCATGGGGAACTCTGTTGTGTGTGAATTTCATGACCCTAGGTCAATATCTTCAAGGTCAAATGAGGTCAAATGTGGTCAAATCTGCCATATGAGCGACTTTTTTTGCGTTTACACGCCGATAACTCAAAAAGTTACAGGCCGATTTTCTTTTTTCTTTGACTATACGAAAGACCAAACATTTGTGAGTATGTAAGGTGAATTTCTAGTTAATCCAACAATAAATATGGCAGTTAGAAGCCTGCTAGGGGTAAGATGTCGCCGGCTGAAGCGGGATCGGCCGACGCGGGAAACGCGGCAATCACAATTTTGTGTTTACACACTCATAACTCAAGTTGTTACCGGCCGATTTTCAAAATTCTTTAACCATATGATTCCCTGTACATTTCTCAGTCTTCTCACCAAATTTGACGCGAATCTAATATAATCAGCGGTAAGGAGCGCGATGTAAAGACGGAACCGTACCGCCCCGGCACAGTCTACAATTCAGGCGGCGCGTAACGGCTAGCGCCGGCCGCCGCGCCGCCGCGGCGGCAGGATGTTTGACTTTACATCGCTCTTACTAGAAAAGTTGTGAACCGATTTTCTTATTTCTTGCACGAGAAGATCCGCAATTCAATTCTGGGCAGGTAGCCAAAATTTCACATTAATATTTTGTTTGTGGCGCGAGTTATTGGCGAAAAACAGGAGGGGTGGGCGAAATCCGCCCCCCCCCCCACCTTCCACTGCGCGTGTTAAAGCCTGTTCATACAACATTAGAAAATGACATGCCAGCAGGGCCTCGTCTAAAGATTTTCACTGGGGGGGGGGGGAGGGGGGCAGGGACTCAAGGAGCCAAACCTAGGGTTCCCCAAATCCTGTTTTCTCACCGGATTTAGGCCACTTATTTTTCATCACAGCCCTGAAACCTGATGAACTTTTTTAACACTACATAAATAAAAATAGTAGAACATCCGACCCATGCCTTTGCCATTTGCATTAGTTTATAACCCCCATAAATTGCCCCACCAGACAGTAATAAGCATACAAAGATTGAAACCTTAGTTTTTGGACCCGCTACACCTTTTTTAAGTCGGTCATTTGTTTACGATTTCAGCCTCTCATGAATGCTTTGCTGTTTATCGGAGTTCAAATTTAACGACTTATTTCCGTTTATCTAAGAATCTTGCTCCCGGTACGGCTATAAGGAAACCATGCCTTATTTGGTATGCGCTTCTGCTCCTCTGTTCGTGCAAGGAAGAGGTAAAACGTTGAAAAAATATTTTCTGAGAATACATCGAGCGAAATGGACAACTGATGCCCTCGAATGACCTGAACAGTGAACATTGACCTTATCTTAGCAATTTGTTACGAACGCACACATTTTTTGCGAACCACATCGGTTTCTAATGGGCCCACCGGCTTATGAGCGTCAGGTGCCGAGCTCTGATGGCCAGTGCCAGCTTCTGGACCCACGTTGGCCTCTGTTAGCCCACACTATGACACTAGTCTTTCCCGTCCCCAGAGACAGACCACCAAGCTGAGCTTACGATCACCCAGAATGGGAGCCTGCTTCATTACGATTAGGAGGTTCTCTTGCCACACACCGGTGACCGTCCAGCCAGAAGTTCGACGTCGCGTAGTGAGGACGACGAAAGGTAGAAACAACAGATTGACGCCCCGAGGACAGAAACAACAGGAGAATACGTGAAATCAAGTTTGACCCCCAACTCACCTTCGCGGACCACATCGACGACCTGAAAGCTAAGATGTCTCGACGGAGGCGATGCCTACAGGCACTGGCCGGAAAGACCTGGGGAAGCCACCGCCGAACCATCAGAGCGGCCTACATCGGCTATATCCGGGCCCTATTCGACTACGGCGCCGCCGTCTTCGGGACATACGCCGCCCCGTCGGTAAGAGGACGCCTCGAAGCCGAGCAAAACAAGTGCGCCCGCGTCATCACCGGCTGCCTACGTGCGACCCGGAAGGACGCCCTCCTGGCCGAGGCTGGTCTCCCGACACTCTCGCTTCGGGCCCTACAGCTGGCAGGCACGGAGTACCAGCGTGTAATCCGTCTGCCCCCGAGCGACCCGGGCAAGTCCCTCTTCCGAGAGGAGGTACAGCCGCGCCTCCAACACCGAGCCTACAAGGCATGGCAAAGAACATGCAACGACGCCACCGCTGCGGGAAGACCACCGCCCAAGCCACCAGACGAGACTGCAGCACTCCCTCACCGACCGTGCCTCAGGAGGGTCGGCAAGTGGCTCGCCGAGGAGGCAGGAATCGAGGAGCTACCGGTGGAGCCCATGGCGTTCTACAGCTGTGACCCGCCATGGCTGGGCCACCGCGGCGGCACCACCTTCAGGGTAGACCTGCCCGTGGCCACCCGCCGGTCGGACCCGCCTGCAGTCCGCAGGGAAGCTGCCCTGCGAGCCATTGCAGAGCTCCCGCAACCGGATATTACTATCTGGTCGGACGGCTCGGCTCGCGGCGGGATGGAACAGGGCGGCGCAGGCGCGCTGATCCAGTTTCACCACCTCAACAAAGAAGAAACCGTGCGCGCTCCTGCAGGGGCGGTCTGCTCCAGCTTGAGAGCAGAGCTGACCGCCATGCGCGAGGCGCTCGCGGCTGTGGCCGGCCTGGAGGAAGGGGAGCTGGCATCAATCAAGTCGGTCCGCCTCCTCACCGACTCAAGGTCTGGGCTACAACTACTCGGCCGCGGCCCAGCTAGCCAGACCATGGCTCTGGCCGCCGAGGTCTGGAGGCTGCTGAACACCCTCGCCGAGAACGGCACCGAGACGGTGCTCCAGTGGGTGCCAGGCCATGCCGGGCTGGACGGCAACGAGACCGCCGACCGCCTGGCTGGCGAGGCCGCGGCGGGCGACCAAGATAGCGCACCGATTGACCTATCGAGTGCGCGGGCCGCCGTCACGCGCCATGTCCGGGAGCTGTCGCGACGGAGGACAACCGCTGCCCACCCGCACCCGGACCCCACGCCTGGCCACGACTCCCTGGCGCGCTGGGGGTCGGTGACGCTGTCCCAGCTGAGGACCGGCACATCACCGCTGACCCGCGACACGCTCTACAAGATTGGCCTGGCAGCCAACGACGAATGCCCCGCGTGCGGGGAGCCCGACAGCGTGACGCACCTGCTGACCGTTTGTCCGGCCTATGAGGCGGCCCGCCGCCGCCGCTGGGGTGTCGACCCTCGCCTGGTCGACGTCCTCGGCGGCCCGGCGGCGAGGGTCGTCGATTTCATCGAGGGTGTCGGGCGGACCGAGCCGCCGCTCGACCCGCCTGCGCCGCCGCCCCCCTGAGCGGGCTGGCGGCGGGATGCAGAAGAAGAAGAAGAAGAAGAATACGTGAAAGAGAATATGCAGGACACGAAGTTAGGTCGTCTGAAACCCGAAAGGTAACGTATTGCTGAGCGAATAAAAAACAATGGTATCAGGTAAGCAAAATAAACACGTGAAAACAGTCAGCGGTAATCGGGTACCTATCAATGTGCTCTGCATTGCATCCATGTTTCGTTTACGCATTTGTTTTAAAGGGACCCTCCCACCTTCAAAAAAGTTTATGAATTGGCATGAAAGTGATGTCGCTCGGTTCAGAAAGAGCGAAAACGAATATCTACCAAATTTCACCGAAAAATATTCACCGGTTTTCAAGATATTAGACTTTTACTTTTGTTTACTTTTTTGGGATCTCCGCTGTTTCTAGCGACTTTATTTTAGAAGTGCGGCGTTTGCGGCAGATGTTGCGCGCAAATAGCATATACCACCACGTGCTACAAAACGTTTTAGTCAAACATTTAAAAATCGTTAGATATCTGCGCTGACGTCACACATTCAGAGGGGTATTCCTAAGCATTAGCCCCTCTGAATCAAAATGCTGCAATTTTGAAATTCAATATTTCCGATTTAAGGCATTTCTCGATGTTGTGAGTGCCGAAACCGGTAATTGTGAGCCAGGGACCCCATTTTGGCTATCTCAACTCAAATCTAATGTTAAGGTGGGAGGGTCCCTTGAATGTGCACTGACGCCTTGCAGTAAAAATTCGTTTGCCTTTTCGCTTTTGCCGGCCCCCACAGGCGCGACATTTTTACCCTGACTGGGGGGGGGGGGGGCAGGCCGGTGACTGCGGGGGTTTGCCCCCCCCCCCAGTTAACATGTTGGGTTCTGCAAATGGTCACGAATTCACTAGGGCCACACTGTTCCTGCACCGAAGCAAGGAGCTCCAGTGTAACCATCTAAGCGGATAAGCGGCTGACTGCTGAGTCGCCTGTCCCACCTGCATTTGAGAACATGTCGGTCTCAATGGAGCGAAGTCTTAATAATAGTCTCGAACTTATTGGGGGAGGAGGAGGGGGGATCGCATGGAGAATGGACCACCAACTCGACAGTCGACACACACTTACTTATATGACCCTGACCTAAGTGTACTTTGACATGTGACCTGTTTCCCGAGACCATATTAGGCCGGGGTACGCATTATCCGTGCTTTTCCAGACTTTTTGTGATTAGAAAATAGAAACGTGCCAACATGTGAAATGTTTGTCCCACGCATTGGCCTTCACTATTGGCCTTCATCGGCGAAAACGTACTTGAAAATGTACGACACCTGTTTCGGGCTGAATGTGTCCGTCGTCCGGTGTCATGTCATCATAGATACAAAGACGGCGTCATGCTTCAGAGCCAGGAATCATCAACATCCAGTGTTTTTTCGCCTTTCCAGTTAGGAAAAAAACTAGTAGAAATGAACATTTGGTAGCCTTCAACCAATTGCTACCAAATTATACGTAAATAGCGCACTTACATTTTGTGGCGCATTTCAGCGCGCGCGCGGTCTCTTGCATTGCCGGGATAGGTATCTCGAAATAATTTCGGTTTTTGTAGGTATTTTGGGTTGTATAAAGGTAAGTATAATAAGTAATCTTTCATAAAAGTCGTAATATGGTCTCCTTGTTTGATGAGTGGATGACGTTTTTTGTGAGAGAAACGGGTGTGGTGGCCGCCGGCCGGTGGGTAGAGACTAGAGTGGGATGGAAGAGTGAGATTTTGTGGTAACTAATTAGTTGCCTGACGTTATTCAGTGCTATGCGGACTCCTGACTGACAATTAATTAAAGGAAAAGGGCCACCTTTAACATGGGGATTGAAACTGAGATAGCCATCTTGTAGCCCGTGTCCGAAAACCTATCTGTCTACCTCCTTACGGCCGATTTCGGCCTCCATTCGTAGTTATCGGCAATTTTAAAAGAAAATACGCCAGGAATGCGTCCTTATCCCAGGAATGCGTTCTTATCCGACAATACAGCCACCCGCGGCGAGGCTTTGGTTTTTTACCAATCAGCTCCAACCAGCTCAGCTTTAACCAATCAGCTTATCTGACACAATCCGACGAGTCTGTCTTCTGAACGCTGATTGGCTTGAGTGTGACGTCATCGCTATGCCATCATACAGTAGGTGCCGTAGAGAGTATCAACATAGTACCAATATGTTAAATAGTTTTAAATACTTTTTCGCGAATTGTGCACTTCTGGCACCAGTTTTAAAAAGAAAATGAAAAATAATAATGTCAAAATGAAAAACAACGATATCTTCATATTTCACGAAGGTGGCCCTTTTCCTTTAATGATTATTCTGCTCTGAAGCACACTCAAAAGTCAATGGTGAAATTTGAAAACTAGCATCACAATATGACTTCTTTCTGTAAGTCAAACCAAGGTTATCAAATCTGACTTCACAGCAGAGGCCAGTTTAACCAGCAGAAAAATAGCTGCCTGCAGAAATTTTTGCCTCAAGACTGCCTCACAAATGGAGCGTAAACGATAAAGCCCTAGCCATTTACATGCCCATCGCGTTTACGCTCCAAATGTGAAGCAGTCTTTACAGCGACCCACCGTATAGATATCTATACACAACTTTGCAAATTTTTAGCGACAAGAAAACTTTTAGCATTGACCTTAATCCCGGGCGTATGGGTTTCTTTACCATTTGTTAGCCACCTGGCGAGAAATTTTGGCACTAGTACTTCGCAAACGTCCGCAATTTTCCTTTTTGTGAACTATGGCGACCGGCGGAAGAAGTACAGGTTAGTTAAACGCTGTTTTCAAATGTTTTTACGAATTGCTGAGAATAATTTCATGTAGCATTACTTAAAACTAACCATTACGGTTTATTTGGTGTCTTGTCTGTGTGTTTAAATTAATTGGCTTGCTTCCTATGCTGTCATCAATCACAATGTCAAGGTGTCTATACGTTGGGTCTGAATGCTGTCTTTAGGGGGTTATATTTGATCTCTCTCTCTCTCTCTCTCTCTCTCTCTCTCTCTCTCTCTCTCTCTCTCTCTCTCTCTCTCTCTCTCTCTCTCTCTCTCTCTCTCTCTCTCTCTCTCTCTCTCTCTCTCTCTCTCTCTCTCTCTCTCTCTTCTATTCTCTCGCTATTTCCTCTCTTTCTTCCTCTCTTCTATCTCTCCGTTCGTTCGTTCGTTCGTTCGTTTGTTCGTTCGTTCGTTCGTTCGTTCGTTCGTTCGTTCGTCCGTTCGCTCGTTCGTTAGTTCGTCCGTCCGCCCGTGCATCGTCCATCCCTACGACCCCCATCCCTACGTCCCTCCCTCCCTCCCTCCCTCCCTCCCTCCCTCCTCCATCCCGCCCTCCCTCCCTCCCTGCCTCCGTCCATCCGCCCATCCGTCCAATTTCCCTCATGGTTACAATCCCTGCCATTCCAGGATGTTCTGGGAGTCCTTCCTGTTCCACACGTCCTGCAACTGCCCGCCGGAGGCCTCCCGCAATAACTGATGAACAGCTGCGTGAGATCCTGAACAACCTTGACATCTCTGATATTGAGCTCTCGGAAGATGAAGATGACTTGGCCGGAACTGCACCGATGAACGTCTCTGGCGAAAACGAAGACAGCCCATCCTCAAACGACGAGCTGTCAGCAACCGATGAAGAGACGTCCGATCCACCTGCCAGCAGAAGAGTGTTCTGGAGACTCAATGCCGATTTTGGAGAGCCGGCACAGCGTCTCTTGGAGATGGGAGTAAGCACGGGAAGAGTTGAGCTGCAGAAAGTGCTTCCGCTTGAGATGTTTCTTCGATACGTATCTGGTGATCTGCTTGCCGTCATAGCAACATGTACTAACCAGCGCCTAGCAGAGCAGGGAAAGACTCCTAATGTCACACCAGGAGACATCTTCAAGTTCTTTGGCATCTGTTTTTACACGTCAGTCATCAAGTTCCCATGGCTTCGGATGTACTGGAGCGAGAAGTATCGTCTTCCAGTGGTTGCCGATCAAATGAGCAGAAACAAGTTCTTCAACATCAGGGCCAATCTAAAGGTGGTCGATGATAATCGCGTTAGCGAGGACCACAAACAGAATGATCGTCTGTGGAAAATCCGACCACTGCTGGACGCCATTCGGCAGCGCTGTCTTCAGCTGGATCGTCCTGAAGCCGTGGCAGTGGACGAGCAGATGATCCCGTTCACCGGTACAACCAGCCTGAAACACTACGTTCCCAACAAGCCGAATCCTGTTGGACTGAAGAATTGGGTACTGGCGGGTGACAATGGCCTAATGCTCGACTTCGAGATCGATCAGGGGAAGTCGAAGCTGATCGGCATGCTCACTGATGCCAGACCTGGGGTAGGCCTTGGAGAAGCTGTGGTGCTTCGGCTGTCGGAGACTCTTCCGGTAGAAAGCAAGGTTTACTTCGATCGGTTCTTCACATCACTTCCGCTGCTTGATGCTCTAAGCGACAGGAACCTCAAAGCAACTGGCACTATCATGAAAAACAGAATCCCAAAGCCGGTAAAGATTCCGACTCAGAAGGACCTGGGAACTCGCGGCACGTCTCAGTGCTCTGTCCGCCAAGACCCAGCAAAAGGACCTCTGGGAATAACCACATGGCTGGACAACAAACCCGTGATCCTTGCATCCAACCACGAAGGAATCCACCCGGAGGACGAGTGTAGGAGATGGAGCAAACGAGATCGGAAGTTCATCGCAGTCAGTCGGCCTGCAGTCGTGCGGTTGTACAATAGGAGCATGGGAGGGGTAGACCTGCTGGACCGGATGGTGTCCTACTATCGGACGTCAGCTCGGACGAAGAAGTGGACGGTGCGCGTGATACTCCACATGCTCGATGTGACAGCCACCAACTGCTGGATCGAGTACAAGAATGAGCTGGAAAGAACTGGTCATGGCGAGCGTAAGGACATGCTGCAGATGATGGACTTCAAGCTGAGACTGGCAGAACAGCTGATTGAAGAGGGATCGAGACTAGATCGTGACATGGACAGGACGATGCCAGAAGACGCTGACAACACAGCCGCTCTCCATGAAGCTGACAACCAGTCGTGCTCTCGTGTTCCTGTTCCTTCCGTAAAAAGGCGGCACGAGGAGGCCAGGCACATGCCTGAGATGGATTCAGGGAAGGCCTCTTACCACAGGTGCCGACTGCCAGGATGTTCAAAACTGGCCAGAGTAAAATGTTCGTCATGTCGTGTTTACTTGTGTCTGACGTCTGACAGGAACTGCTTCATGAAGTTCCACCGGTAGCAATGGAAGGGAGATGACGTTTCTGGAGGATTTGACGTGCGAATCCAGACGAAATAGTACCTACTGGTATCTTCTTGATAAGCATTGCAGTAAAAGCACTGCAACTGATTGTTAGCTGTGAGAGCATTTTAAGTTCGCCTGCTAGTGATGAAAGATACTCACCTGTTCTGTGGCAATAAACGTGGTTGGCAGTCACCAATATATTTGTGAAAGTAGGTAAATCGAACGGCTCAAATCAACGAACTGAGACCCAACGTATATATGTGTATACATGGCATATTTTGAAAAAATATTTTTCAAATAATTTTTTGAAGACCATTTTTGGTCTATTTACATCTCCCTTGATATCCTTTTAAGTTTTTGTCGTTGTAGCTTTCTCACTTAGTGCATGGGTCGCTAGAGGTTAGGAGGTTCTCTTGCCACACACCGGTGACCGTCCAGCCAGAAGTTCGACGTCGCGTAGTGAGGACGACGAAAGGTAGAAACAACAGATTGACCCCCCGAGGACAGAAACAACAGGACGAATACGTGAAAGAGAATATGCAGGATACGAAGTTAGGTCGTCTGAAACCCGAAAGGTAACGTATTGCTGAGCGAATAAAAAACAATGGTATCAGGTAAACAAAATAAACACGTGAAAACAGTCAGCGGTAATTGGGTACCTATCAATGTGCTCTGCATTGCATCCATGTTTCGTTTACGCATTTGTTTTAATGTGCACTGACGCCTTGCAGTAAAAATTCGTTTGCCTTTTCGCTTTTGCCGGCCCCCACAGGCGCGACATTTTTACCCTGACTGGGGGGGGGGGGGGGGCAGGCCGGTGACTGCGGGGGTTTGCCCCCCCCCCCCAGTTAACATGTTGGGTTCTGCAAATGGTCACGAATTCACTAGGGCCACACTGTTCCTGCACCGAAGCAAGGAGCTCCAGTGTAACCATCTAAGCGGATAAGCGGCTGACTGCTGAGTCGCCTGTCCCACCTGCATTTGAGAACATGTCGGTCTCAATGGAGCGAAGTCTTAATAATAGTCTCGAACTTATTGGGGGAGGAGGAGGGGGGATCGCATGGATAATGGACCACCAACTCGACAGTCGACACACACTTACTTATATGACCCTGACCTAAGTGTACTTTGACATGTGACCTGTTTCCCGAGACCATATTAGGCCGGGGTACGCATTATCCGTGCTTTTCCAGACTTTTTGTGATTAGAAAATAGAAACGTGCCAACATGTGAAATGTTTGTCCCACGCATTGGCCTTCACTATTGGCCTTCATCGGCGAAAACGTACTTGAAAATGTACGACACCTGTTTCGGGCTGAATGTGTCCGTCGTCCGGTGTCATGTCATCATAGATACAAAGACGGCGTCATGCTTCAGAGCCAGGAATCATCAACATCCAGTGTTTTTTCGCCTTTCCAGTTAGGAAAAAAACTAGTAGAAATGAACATTTGGTAGCCTTCAACCAATTGCTACCAAATTATACGTAAATAGCGCACTTACATTTTGTGGCGCATTTCAGCGCGCGCGCGGTCTCTTGCATTGCCGGGATAGGTATCTCGAAATAATTTCGGTTTTTGTAGGTATTTTGGGTTGTATAAAGCAGGGGGGTACGCTCCGGCTGTTTAGCATTACGAAAAATGGTGACAGACGTTTGTGGAGGATTGTCGACGAACTCTTGTTCCGCGAGCAGTACTTACACGCTAGCGGAAAATTCACCAATCAGCGCTCGGCAGTACTCGACGCTGATTGGTCCGACGCTCGTGACGAAATTGCGGGGGACCGCAGTTATTCTCTATGGACCCGAATAGGCTTTTGGATTTCGGAGGAGTTTCTTTAAAATTATATGCTGTTTGGAGCTGTTTTCGAGTTGAAATATATTTCTTATGACTGTTAGCTATATAATGACACCATAAAATCATGATTTTAATAAATATTACCGATGTAATATCGGCCGAAAAGACATGCTGTCATGGCACGGACTGCCCTGCGGCTGATGTGGGGCCCCTAGTGCCAGCGTATGGTAATAATGGGTTGACGAAGGGTTATTGGAGAAACTTAGAGCCCCTTTAGCATTCAGTATAGGGTCATCAGAGGCCGGGAATGTCCATCAGGGGTCTGAGTAGGCCTGTCATAGGGGCATACATGACACATCATGGCCCATGGGTCAATGTAGATCCATTAGGGGCCGTTGAAGGGCCATCATTGTTCAGCGTGGGCTCGCAATTACCTCTGATGGGCATATGCCGTGCCCCGATGGACTAACGCTGGCCCCTGATGAACCATCACCAGCCCCTGATAGGTCTACAAAGCCCTCTGCTGGGTCCAAATTGGTCACTGATATGCCCAAATGGGCCACTGAGATACCCGTACAACATCGGGCACATCCCCTGACTGCACCTGCTGGACCAATGCCGTCCCCTCATGGGCCCACCACAGCTCTTGAATGACCTTTTCAAGTCCCCTGAAGTGCCTTTATTGGCCTAAATGGCCCCTGATTGACTGATGTGGTCCCTATTGGTCCTATATGGCCCCCATGAGCCCTCAACGTCGGCCTAGACAGCCTTACATTATATGCCACTGGGCCCTGTTGGGTCAGCACCGGCCCCCGATAGGCTTGCACACTGGACCCACCGGGCCTATACCGACCCATGAAGGGTCTATGTCGAACCCTCACGGACCTCCGATGACCACACGCCGACATGTGTGGCCCCATCAGCAGTGGTCCGTCTATCCCATGTACTTACGGTCTTTTTGGCCGATGTGACACCGGTAGTATATAGAATGTCATGATTAAATGTCGTTATTACACAGTCAAAAGTCACAGAAAGAATATCCAAGCTCAAAAATGGCCTCAAACCCAACAAAAACTGGTATAAATCCCCTTCAAAAGCCGTAAGTCTATTAAACGCCATAGGGGAATAGCTACAGTCCCCCGCAATTTCGTCACGAGCATCGGGCCAATCAGCGTCGAGTATTGCCGAACGCCGATTGGTCGATTTCCGCTAGCCTGTAAATGCTGCTTGCGGATATAGTTTTGAACAAGTGAGGGTCGCGGCTACTAATTATCGCTTGTCACCACTTTTTCGTCGGGAACGTTCTACCTGGTTTATATAGCCTTGGTATAAAGGTAAGTATAATAAGTAATCTTTCATAAAAGTCGTAATATGGTCTCCTTGTTTGATGAGTGGATGACGTTTTTTGTGAGAGAAACGGGTGTGGTGGCCGCCGGCCGGTGGGTAGAGACTAGAGTGGGATGGAAGAGTGAGATTTTGTGGTAACTAATTAGTTGCCTGACGTTATTCAGTGCTATGCGGACTCCTGACTGACAATTAATTAATGATTATTCTGCTCTGAAGCACACTCAAAAGTCAATGGTGAAATTTGAAAACTAGCATCACAATATGACTTCTTTCTGTAAGTCAAACCAAGGTTATCAAATCTGACTTCACAGCAGAGGCCAAGCAGAAAAATAGCTGCCTGCAGAAATTTTTGCCTCAAGACTGCCTCACAAATGGAGCGTAAACGATAAAGCCCTAGCCATTTACATGCCCATCACGTTTACGCTCCAAATGTGAAGCAGTCTTTAGGCAAAAAATTCCGGCAGGCAGCTATTTTTCTGTTGGTAAAACTGGCCTCTGGATCAGAAAATTAACCTTCTTATTTTGTCATTAGTAAAGCTTGTTTGAAACTCTTATAGATTACAAAGTGCATATTTCATATTGCCATTTTTTTTTTCAGTGAGAAAGTAAAGCAAGAGACCATGGAGGTAGAAATCAAACTTGAAGACATAAATCCCAATATCACATGCAAGATTTGTAAAGGTTACTTTGTTGATGCAACAACAATAACAGAATGCCTGCATACATGTAAGTATCTATGATGCATAGATTGTATCTAGCATCTAGGTAGGTAAGTAGGTACAAGTAGGTACAGTATAATATGTGGGTTGCAACTTGCAGATACACTCCAGCGATTTTTTTTGTATCTTATTTATGATCACCCGCTAAAACCATCATTTGTGATGTAAGAATAAAGGTTGCAAATTTTGAAAATGTCAGCTGAAACATGTGCTTTTCTCCTGTAGGCTGTAACAGCATGTCATGAAAAAGTCAATGTACCTGTAATTGCACTATTTATATCAACATGTAATAAGTCAGCTAATAGGTTGGTCATGCTATCTACTGTTTTGTGTTAATATATATATATATATTATATAATATATATATATATATATATATATATATATATATATATATATATATATATATATATATATATATATATATATAATGCTGGATCACACTGATTTTGTACATATTGTTTTGCAGTTTGCAAGAGTTGTCTGGTGAAGCACCTGGAAGAGAGGAACACATGTCCAGAGTGCAACAGCATCATCCACCAGTCGCACCCACTGCAGTACATCAGCTTCGACAGGACCATGCAGGACATTGTCTACAAACTGGTGCCAAACATTCTGGAAGGTAAGTCATACATTGGATGAAATGGATGTGACAATCAACCCTATCCTATTAAGGTGAGTCATCAATCATGCATACCTATGTGCTACTAAGCATGTTCAGTCTACCTTAGTAATGTCTTGCATTCTATTTTGAATTTAAACTCCTTACACAACTTCTATGGGGCAGAGCTGCTTGGAAATGATGGCACCTGATAGTGATGGTAGTTTTCTTGAGTTTCTGTAGAGAATACAGTAGTGAAATTAATCCCCTACTAATGTGACACAGGGCGTAGGGGCTGACATTGAGGTGTCTAGCACTTCAAAGCCCTGCCCCTCACCCACCATTTCACACACACGCTTCTTGGCCAGTTGCGCTGGGCACCACCAGAGTAAAACCATTACTTATTCCAAGCATTACAAATTATACTATGATAATAATAATCACAGCAGTATATTTGTAGTAAGACAAGTACATAATTTTTATGGTGTATTGAAAATTGTTGATGCATGGTAGATTTAAAACTATTGATACAGCCTTTCTTGCATTTATTTCTTGCATATTATATTTTCATCATTGGTTGGTAATGAACGGCATCAATGTCATTTGTGATAAGCTGAGAACCACTGAAGCCACTGATGACTGATCTACATTTTGCAGACGAGATGGAGCGGGAACGGGCGTTCTACAAGTCGCGAGGCCTGCCCAACCCGAAGGACCAGACCGGGCAGGATGACGAGGCCAACGGTGGCACAGAGGAGGCCGTCAAGGGACA